AACCATGTTCTCGAAGGCACTGACAACTTGTCCGAAACGTGATAATACACGGTTAAGTCACAATATTAAATTCAAATAGATATTTATCGACATTAGTAATATTTCGTTGATGTCATAGATAGATTAATCTTATACTCTTAAACTCAGTTTCGTACCCAGAATGTTACTGTTATTTAATAAAATGTTTTATTTCTCCACATTTTGCTTTATTTAATCGAATTTAAACAGCTTTTGGTGTTATTCTTCATATCTTGTTTGTTTTCTGAATAGACGTAAATCTGTAGGCACCTTTACTTAGATACGACAAAAATCTCGCATACAATGGTTAGTGAGGAGGGACGATATTACAGCACTGACGCAATGTTCACAATATAATGTACTACCACAATTTTGAAATTTGTGAAACACTTCCGCGCCACTACTAAATATCATACAGTATTTAGTCTGCAAAAGTGGCGCGACTGGCGCTGCGCTTCTAAATATTGTATGAAAATGCGCCACTGCGGTGCTTCTGTAAGCGTCGTAATTTGAAGGCGCCCTAGAATGTGCAATTTTAACACGTATTTTCGAGGTTATTTCTGTTGTTTCTTTCGTCGGTATTATCAAAAGTAAAAAATTGTCTGTGCTCGGTTTATTTCCTCACAAGTGTAAATGACAGTCGTCCGTTTCGTACGATTTAGTCCCACGTGACGGGTAGGCAGACTACGGAATTGTTCGTTGTACGATTTAAAAGATTAAAAACCATCTTGAAATTTAAAAATTAAAAACTTTGTCACGCAAAGAAATCGAAAGTTATAACTGCATGCTAAGGATCGCTCTCCACATTGTAGTATATGTACCACATAGCACTATGTGATCTTGAACGTGTGGGACTTAACCCTTCTATCGTACAACGACTGCCCTGTTCTTATACTTTATTTTCTGTACTTGGTTCTTTGGCTGTTTGTACAGTCAAGAGCGCGTCCAGTATGACACTGGACTTTTAAATTTAAATTGAATTTAAATCTTAAGTGCTATGCTTGGCGTTCTCATGACCATGTAATTATGTTTACTGAATTTAAAATAAAACTTAGTTAAAACCATTCCTGTGTTTTTGTTGCCTGAATACGTACGGTTTTAATATAGGTAAAGTGTTTTTCTTAATTTAAGATGGTATTTAATAATTGATGCTGTGTCTACTCGTTTAAAAAAATGTCTGCGCGCAATTAGTTTCAAAATAATTGCAATTCCAATTAAGACTCAATTTATATTGCGGCGGATCTTCCACGGAATTCTCGCGCTTACTCGAGAATGTTCGCGCATTCCGCGGAAAATTTTGGCTCCTATCTAATTTGTGCGTTACGCAATTGGCCATAAAGTTCATTATGCTATGTACGCAATATAAATTGAGCCTAAACGCGCATCACAAATGAATAAACTTGCGATTGGTTGGTA